GCCGACGCGCTTGTTCGTTTCGTTGAATAGTTAGTTTCTACCGGGCCCAAACGGCCCATTACGGCCCAAGTGTGCAATCCCCGCCGCGCCGCGAAAACACAAAACTGGCTAGTCGAAAGTAACGATGAAGAAAAAACAAACAGAAATAGCTCGCGGTTTCTTGCGCCACTCCGGCTCCGCCGCCGCATGCCACAGCCGCCGCAGACGAGATGGGCATCAAGGTGAGTGCGGGGGGATCCGTCGTCCCTCTACCTTCCTTTGGATTTCGGGGTTGGTTGCCGTCTGGTGGCGAATCGGTTGACGGTTTCTGGCACGGTTCGCGCCTTCGGCGTGTGTAGGGTTTGACGAAACTGCTGGCGGACAATGCGCCCAAGGCGATGAAGGAGCAGAAGTTCGAGAGCTACTTCGGCCGCAAAATCGCTGTCGACGCCAGCATGAGCATCTACCAGTTCCTGGTGTGTTCCGCTCCAACACCACTAGTCCTCATTTCTTTTCCTCGCTGTCCTGTGCTTAAGATGGAACTGGCTGTTTTATTGCTTGTTTTGTGGCCAGGATTGTGCATTTTTTCCCCTATGTTGTTGTTTTCTGTTTGTGCGCATTACATGAGTTGCTTCGAACTGTTGCTCTTCAAACTGAACCGGGTCTAGGGTTTAGCATTGAACCTTGAACGCTCTTTTTTTTTTTTGTTGGGGGGCAGGGGGGGGGTGTGGGTTACGATGAGGAATATACATCCTCGTTCTTTTCCTTAATGTCCGAATGAACTGGCAGAGTTATCAAAGCAGATCACTTGCATTGTTTTTTTATGTAAATGGTAGGAGCTTTGCCTTTCAATTAAGACAGGAAAGAACTTTTACATTATATCGATACAGGATGCAGCCTAAAACAAAAGGGCCTGAACACTCAAGGCACTCTAGGAGCAACCTATTGGCACCACTGCACCATGGGCCGCACAAACATGAAAACTAGAAATTAATTAGGATACAAATCCAAAAGCCTTCTTATGGTCAATGTCATCCTTCACCCTCCAGGCCACTTGCATTGATTTTAGTTCAACTGGGTTGGCCTTCAAGATTGGCTCGCTTGGTTTGTTCAAGTAAAATAAAAGATGAAAGCAAATTGTATTAGTTGCATGTATTCTGTGCGTTTTGACATCTACTACTGTGCTAGTTACCTACTGCCATGAAAGAGTTGGAGCGTGTTTCTTATACTTCCTAGAACAGATTGTAGTTGGAAGGACAGGTGTGGAAACTCTCACAAATGAAGCTGGTGAAGTCACTAGGTACAGATAAATATATCCTTTCTAGCAAGTTTAATATCTGAAGCTGCATTCACTATGTTCCTAGTGCTGGTATTTTTTTTTCTAATTATTGTTTGTTCGGCAGTCATTTGCAAGGAATGTTCAACCGGACAATAAGGTTACTGGAAGCGGGAATCAAGCCAGTGTAAACATGACTTCCTTTCATTTATTGCCACTCTAAGATATAAATACGTGTAAACAAATATATTACCTTCTAAATGGTTTGCTTCATTGTTTGTGCAGTTATGTTTTTGATGGCAAGCCTCCTGATATGAAGAAACAAGAGCTTGCTAAAAGGCATGATATATTTGAATATTTCTTTCATCCTTTGATTGTTCCTATGTTATTTGACACACTTATATAATATCTGTACTTCAAAGTCTTCTCTCATTGCTAGAGTGTACTATTATTTTCAGATACTCAAAAAGAGAAGATGCAACCAAAGATCTGAAAGAGGCAGTAGAGGTAATTATCTTGCTCCAAGTTTGCTCATTTTTTGGTATCATAATTATTTGTCAATTCTTCTATTCCTGAATCCTAAAGGAAAATGGTCCCTCATGTTTCAGGAAGGAGATAAAGATGCGATTGAAAAATTGGGCAAGAGGACTGTAAAGGTAATTTCTTCATTTTCCAGTCAATAGCTTATGGTTTATACTTGAAAAGTTCATGAGTGCTCCAACAGCAAAAATTGAGGTGATTTAGAATGTTTCTGAAGCCCCATTAGTTTCATGCACAGCATAAATGTCAACAAATATATGTAAGATGCAAGATTTATTGTTCTGACTGAGTAAGCTGCGGCTTCATCTTGTTTCCCCCTTTTATGAACAGGTCACAAGGCAACATAATGATGACTGTAAACGACTACTAAGACTTATGGGGGTTCCTGTTGTAGAGGTGAATTTAGTTTAATTGGTATTATGCTACTAATAAGGCGATGAGTCAGATTGTTCTTTAGGATCCTTTTTTTCCTGCTAGCATAAAGGCTATGATTTATCTTGTCTTGTGTCAGCGCTAATTTATGGATTTGTCTTGTTGGACAAATAGGCACCTTCTGAAGCAGAAGCAGAATGTGCAGCCCTTTGCAAAAACGATAAGGTACTCTTAACGAAGACCTTCACCTTCTTGTTTCCACTCCTTCATTCCATTTTTTTCTTATATGCTATCTATTTTGTAGGTGTTCGCTGTTGCTTCAGAAGATATGGATTCCCTTACTTTTGGGGCTTCAAGGTTCCTTCGTCATTTAATGGATCCAAGTTCCAAGAAAATACCTGTGATGGAATTTGACGTTGCCAAGGTGTGCATTTTTGTTATGTGCTCAGTAATTACCTTGATGTTGCATATATGTCATCAATTCTTTTGTCGCAGGTTTTGGAGGAGCTTGAACTCACCATGGACCAGTTCATTGATTTGTGCATCCTGTGTGGATGTGACTATTGTGATAGCATCAAAGGTATCCTAATCAGTTCTATATCATATTATACTCCACAATTGTCTGCGTTTCTAAAATGCTTTACCTCGTGCCTCTATTTTTCTAACTCGGTATCTTTGCTTGTTCGTTAGGTATCGGGGGGGCAAACAGCTCTGAAACTTATTCGTCAACATGGGTCCATAGAAAGCATTTTGGAGGATCTTAATAAAGACAGGTTAGTCCATTTAAAATAGTCTGAGATTTGTCTGTTCACCTAATAGTCATAGGAGCAGTCTATTTTCCATCGTGGCCCTATACTTTACATTATCAACCAATGATCTTTTCTTTTCTTTTTTTAATTGGCATTCCTTGTGTTGGATGCTTTAGTGGTGAAATGAAAGGAAACTGTTTGCTGTTTGATTCTGCCTAATTTGTACATGTGTGCTACAGATATCAAATTCCTGAGGACTGGCCTTACCAAGAAGCTCGACGCTTGTTCAAGCAGCCTGATGTTACTTTGGATGTTCCTGAGCTGAAATGGACTCCACCTGATGAGGAGGTACACGCAATGACCTTGCTTGCTTACCTTCAAACTCTTTTCATACATCCTGAATGTAACTCATTTCTTGGCCTCTTTCCAGGGTCTCATAAGTTTCCTGGTAAAAGATAATGGCTTCAACGAAGATCGGGTGACAAAGGTATGTACCTTTCTTTTGGTTCTCACTGTTTAGTTCTCCAATCATTTCTTCTCATCTATGATTCTCATGTTCTTTTGTGCAGGCCATAGAGAAGATCAAATCTGCCAAGAATAAATCGTCTCAAGGAAGGTGAGTATCTCTTGTCATCTTGTACAAACTACAAAGTGTGTGAGTATATTTGCCTGTTTAAATTAATCTTACTGTCCTAACACTACTGATTCTTGACTTCATGTGACCAGACTCGAGTCCTTTTTCAAGCCAGTTGCCACCACATCATCACCGCTGAAACGGAAGGTACTTCCAAAAAATGCCACCCCATCTTTCATGCTTATATGTGATTTGTAGCCTTTTCCGTAGTCATCAATTCTGGATAGGGCATGTAAATTTATGCAGACCAGGTAGCAATTAGGTCAATCGAAGCTGTATTTTGCAAGCCTGTCGTCAAGACTCATGGCAACATATTTTCATGCAAAATCATATGTTACTCATAACTGCACTATTGGACGGTTCTTCCTTGGTTTTTAGCTAATGAATCGTTTCGCCACAAAAATGCAGGAGACTTCGGATAAAACAAGTAAGGCAGCTGCGAACAAGAAAACAAAGGCCGGTGGGAAGAAGAAATAAGCTTGAATGCTTAAATGTGCAGCTACGAAAGCTGTGGTTGCGTCATCACTTAGATTATTTGACTCCCTGTTGTAACTCAAACCTGTGGTCAAAAGCTAGGGTAAATTAGTTGTGTTTGAAGAGAGATTGTTAACATAACTTATCACGGTGGCTAGTTCTTCCGTTCATGCCTATACATCTTCCTCTTGTCCTTTGAAGTATCTATGCTGCAAGTTTTAAGGCGGTTATGTTGATGTTCTGCACTTTGTCCGGTAATGTGCTCGATCCAGCGGTCGAGCTCATTGCCTGTGGAGAAATGTGCGAAGCGCGCGTGCTGGGGCGGCGCCTGTCCGCGGAGAATGGTCACCACAAGCGGTTGCAAGTGGAAACAGGAGATGAGGTGAACTGGTCGAAGTCGGACACGGCGAGCGAGGACTACTAGAATTGAAATGGCAAAACATTGACACGGTTGCACCAGCTGAAGCCGCTGAGCACGACAAAGATCATTCCAGCACACAACAATGCGGATCTTCAGAAACAAAGATTCAGAAAAGTCCTCATTAGACTGAAATAATAAACACTACGAGCTGTAAAAAGAATTCTTACGGTAAATAATCACACAACAGGCTAGCCCAATCTTAGAAAGGAAGACATGTACACAAACTACAGAGATAAGGGAACCCAACAATCTGAACTTCCCACCCACCATGCAGTTTCCAAATTCCCTCTTTGGCTCTTTGCCTTTCTCAATTCACATACACTGCACTGCCTTTGGTCTATTTCAGCATTAACTTCAAAATCTTTTGAAAAATGGTCTATCCTGATTAGGTCTAAGCTTCTAGCCGAATCTAATAGGCACATCACAAACCAGGGGCACTTCTGCCCAAAGGACCTATAACTTCACCGTTCACCCCAAGCTACAAAACTTTCCAGGAGATTAACAAAAAAGGTTTCACCAGCATGTGTTTGTCCGTTGTGTACCACCATTGCCATCCTATTTGTCCCAATGATCTTCACGCATGCCAAACTCCCATTTCTGAGGGAGGGGACCATATATGGAGGAAAACTTTGCCAAGCAATTTGTTCTGATATCATAGTGCTTCTGAGTGTTCCGGCTAATAGCAACAGAAGAAAGCTTGGATGTATCAATAGCCCATGCGGGGTGGACATACTCCACGGTCCTTGTGGAGCTTGCATTCGCATACAGAAAATTCATGAGCAAGTCCTCACAGTTGAAGTTCTTGTGCACATAGTCCCTCCCTTCACGAGCTTTCTCGCTCCAGTAAGTCTTGAAAGCAAACTCACTGTCCATGAAGGCAGCACCTGTGAGTATCAGATTGTAGCCATTCTTACCCCTAGCATATCTCTCGTTCCTGTATTGCATAGGGTTGCCATCTATCATCCGGGGGTAAAAGCCCACCATCCGCTCAGGGTGTTCTCTCCAGACCCTAAATCCTTTCTCTAAGTCAGTGCAAGTCATCATGATATCATCATCCAGTTCAAAAACAGCTCGGGTCTTTATCAGAGGATCAACCCTAAATCTGTTGTTAAGAGAATTGATCTCCTCAACTCTTATCCTCACAGGCACAGTAGAGTCAAATGCGTCACTACTTGGAGCGTTACCTTTGTTCCAGACAACAACTATCTCCCTAACTGATTCACATCTGGAGTAGTGTTCAATGAATACTTTCAAATTCCAGAGTCGAGCTTCATATGTCATTGTGACCATGGTGAATTGAGAGTGTAGCCCTTGATATGTGTATGCCTCTTCAGCACCATTGCCACCACATAAGAAATGCACAGCAATGCAGACATTCAAGATACCAAATAGAGCAACTACACAGAAGAAAAGCATGTTGGACCAACTCTTTTCACTGAGCTTGGTTTTAGTAGCAGAGATATATCTGCTAATACTGGTAGAATATCTGCGGACTTTCTGGTTGAAGCGGTGCACACAGAAGATACGGGATAATTCTGTTCTCCTTGTAAGAGGAACCCATAAACTGGGAGAAATGTAGCAACTGATTGCACCTTTCATAAAACCCACAAAAATGATAAGGGCACTGGCCAACAGGAAAGCTATGTAACCAATGAGAGAACGTCTGGTTGAATCGCCTGAAGGGACTCGATCACCATCCATTACAGCAATCCATCCACCAGATGCAAGTTGTTGTGCATCCATGTGATGGTACCTCATGCCATTCCATGCATTTCTCCCTTTCTTTGGCTCCTCAATCCCAAGATTTACAGGGACCTCTTTGTATTCTTCCTTGCTTAACTTTTCAACTTTGTACAACTTAACCCTCCGGCCATAAGTACCACTGCAATCCTGACCAGGGCGATATAATGACCCTTCAAAAACGAAGAGCCTCCCGCCATTTCGAGCTCCCAAACTTTTGTCCGATTTGTAGATAGGATTTTGCTTGTGCTCAGTCCAAGGACCAAGAGGTGAGTTACTGTACCAAATCTCAAGCTCCGCGTTCTTCTCAACGCCATACCGTGTAAAATCAGAAGCAAATAGCCACCAGTATCCCTCAAATTGGACTAATGAGGCATCAATAAGTGGCTTATTGACAAGAACTTTCTCTAATGTCCATTCAAGGGGAAACTTTGTAGCACGATAAAGGCGCAGCTCCTTCTTTTTGTTTCCCTCTGGCATCATATAAATCTGAGAGAGAGAGAGAGAGAGAGAGAGAGAGTTAGTGTTTTGATATCATCATAGCTGTTTTTTGTCAAGTAATAGATATGAAGTCAAAGAATCTACCTCATTCTCATACTTGAACACAAAAGGATATGACAGATGCCATGCCTCATCTAGAGCAATGCCCAGAAATTCCCACGTTGCACCTTGGTCGAAGCTTCTTGCAACTCCAATATCACCTTGCATTGAGGTTGTTGTTTTTGTTTCAAAGAAAAGATATAGTGTATCCCCCTAGGAGATGCATAGTACCATATCAGAATGAGAGAGCTAGCGGGTGAAAATGCAAGTTGGAAAGTAGTATCTTAACTTAAGAATGCTACTCATTGGACGAATCAATAATGCATTCAGGTTGACAAATAGCATTTCTCGTCCTGCTTGGTTACATATTCAACCAACGAAAAATGTCATTGACAAGTAGACAGCGGCAGTGGGACGTATTTACAGATCAACCTCTAGATTAATGGTTTTAAACTTCCAATGTACCTAAACAAAACAAATTTCGGTGTCTTATCTCAACTAGATCTGAATCCTTTCCTGAACTAAAACTCCCTAGGTATTATCTTATCATAAGCTATTAATTCATCAGAAACCATGCTTACATACTACTAGTATACTGTGCATCATAGAGTAGCAGCCACTACATGCTGGACCTAAGAGCATCTCCAGCAGTCCCCCAATACAACTCCCCCAATAAAATAGTATTGGGGTAGCCCAATATCACTTTCTAGATTTATTAGGGGAGATGCTGCAGCAGTACCCCGATATATCTCCTCCGATAACCATATGAAAGGTGGGTCCCACAGTAGTGTAAGAGAAAACATGGCTGAAAAGTGGTAGTTGGGATGGTCCCCATGATATTGGGGGAGTTGTATCTCCCCCTTTCTTTGAGGGGAGATGAGAGAAATAACGGTGGCCACAAAAACAAAGAAGAGGTATTGGGGACTGCTGGAGCAAAAAAAAAAACATAGCTGTCCCAATATAACAGTTTTATAGGGACCGGGGAGGTATCGGGGAACTGCTGGATGCTCTAACTTTTGTATGCCTCAACTGAGACAAAACAGTTACACATTTTTTTCACACGCTAGTAAGACACTGTCAGGATAAATCAGCCAAACAGTATTATGTGCCTGAGTAAATTGTCTCCTAAGTATCCAAAAATCAAACCCTCACTGTCACCCGTGCGTGGGTGCTGAATTCTGGAATGCAGCCACATCACCAGTTCAGCCAGCGAGCCTGAATTTTACTTTGCTCAACGATTTGCTCCCATAGCTTAGCTAATTTACAAATCATCCCTACATCCACGAGAAGCAGAATTCCACCCCCGGGAAGAGCGGCAGAACAAGCAGCAGTAGTGCCTCACCTCGACGTAGAGGAACGGGTCGGCAACGAAGTTGCTCGGGTACCCCGCCTCCGTGGCGGTCGCGCAGGTCAGCACGGGGTTTGCCACCGGCCACGCCGAGCTGTTGCCGTTGCTTCTCCCTTCCTGCCCACCAAAATTACACTTCAGACAAAGTAAGGGAAGCGCTTCAGGCGTCAACCTACCCAACGCTCACCCCAGCAGAGCTGTTTTTAAGCTAAGAGCGCTGCAGGCCACTCACCAGCTCGATGGGACGGAGCGCGAGGGGACTGCTGCCGTAGAACATCCCGACCGCCCACGACCCCTCGCCGTCGGGGCGGCACCCGGCGGCGCCCGAGTCGGGGAGCCGGAACGACGAGACCACCAACCAGAAGTAGAACCCGCCGACGAGCGACGCCACTGCCGCCGCGGCCAGCAGGAACGAGGCGGCCGGCGACCGCGCGGCCGCCGCGCGCACGCCGCTGCCGCCGCTCGGTGGCCTCATCGCTCCTCCTCGCCGCGCAGCCTGCCCAGCCATGCCCCGACGACACCCGCCACCGGCCGTAGCATCGACCGCCCGATCGGATCCCGGGCTGCCTCTGCCTCTGCCTCTGCCTCTGCCTCTCTCTCTCTCTCTCCAAGTCCGCCCGCCGAGCTGGATCAACTTCGCTAGCCAATTAATTAAGCGAGGAAATGTGCGGAAGCGGCGGCGGCCGGCAGGGGATTAGCGGGCAATTAACGCGTGATTAATCAATCAACTGGGCAGCTTAGCTTGCAATAAGCCAGAGCTGCTTCCCTGTCCTAGCGGCGAGCTGCTTTGTGGGGGTGGGGTACTGGGGTGTGACGACTGACGACCAAAGCGGACGGACGGCACGGGGTGATCTGGATGCCGGGCTAGTCCTTGGACTTATAGGTTGGACCGAGGTGTGAGGGGTTTTCCAACAGGGACGGCGTCGACGGCATGTTTGACCGGAAGCAGCCCGGACATCGATTTCCCTTTTTCTCTTCGCGGTTTCAAACATTGTTCAAGGCCTTTTTTATTCCATGAATTATAATTATAATTATAATATCTAGAAAATACTTCTTATTTTATCATTAAATTACTTTTCAATTTCTCTCAGTTTCTGGAAACCAAACATAACCTGAGAGAAAATAGTGGAGTATCTTTCATTTCCTTTTCAGATTTTGAGATTTTTTCTGTCACGGACAGGAACGTACCAGGTAGGAAGCAGCGAATTGAGAATGGCTTTTGTCCCAGTCCCACAGTGTGACTGCTCTATTTCTACCACACAATTTTTAGACCGCGTTTTACCGGGTTAATAAATACTTTGGTCTTTGGTTGCCGTTGCCATGATTTTCTGCAGCTTCCGGGACATGCCCAGAATGCTTTGGCTGTTTGGCCGAGGGCCGAGGTCAGCTTTCCCGTCACGAGAACTTTCCCCCGGTACTACCCTTTCACCTTGGCCCGCAGCATAAATTTTCAAAAGGCGCTTGCGTCTAAAATATCGGTACTAACGTGTGGTCAAATATTTACATTACCCTGAGTCCATGGATCAAACCCCCGTACAGAAATGGAAGCATCCACCATTTACAAAGGCAAGAGCCGAAAGACAAAGGGGAACCTGTATACCCTGTGAGACCATATACCACCATCTAAAAACCTTCCATGCTCCACGCTTTGCGATGCTACGACAGATCAGGTTCTCCACAGAATGCATCAGGCTCAAATGACCTCGCCGCGGTGTCACTGTACACTCCAGGGATAGCCCTTCCCCCGGTATTTCCATATGGTTCCTTTGGGTTTTCGGTGTTCACGTAAAGAAGAATGCAAAGGATCAGGGAGCCTGCCAGACCCACCAAGGTGAACTTCACTCTGTTTAGCACAGGCTTGACCTGGAGCATAAAAAGAAAAACAGTGCTTAGCAGCCATGCAAAAGATTTTTCACAATGATGCTACGATTTTTTTTGAGTGTAGCAAATTTCTAATGTTTCAGAAAACGAATGCACAAGATAACAGCCATGCTCAGATGTAGATCCAGAGCACAGCCAAGTTCATAATATGATCATATTCCCTGAGGGATATCACAGCTCATGCCATGTGCATGTACAGTTCAGTATTCATTCAATAAGCTTTATGGCATGGAGTTGATACTCAGTAGAAAACAAAGAGCTAACTGATCATAAAAGAATGTGACATTTAAAGAAGTCAATAAGAACAACTTACAGAAAATGAGCCTAGAAGCCGATCACGAGCTAAAACTTCTGGAGTTTTAACCCATATCTGCCAAGGTACGAAATGATCTTAGCATCAAGAGTTAATTCTGGTGCCGAATGATGAGCCAAGTATAATGAATTCCATGCATACAAAATTTTATTCAGAAGAATACAAACACTTGCCAAGAATCAGATCAAACAAAGTGGAAAACCACAAACCATCTTGACTAACACAATTATAACAAGTTTATAGAAGCATCATAAGAATGTGTTTGTTTTTCTCTCCTTTTTGAGACGAATGTCTGCATGTTACAATAACTTACAAGGACTAAAATAACTCAGCAATTCTACATCAATCCTTTGTTTGGGACGAATGTCTGCATGTCCATCAGGAGCAATAAAAACTGGAGTTTGTGGAGTACCTCTTTAAATAACTCACCCTTTTTCCAAAAACCGCTTGGCTAAAAAATGTGGAGCGGAGCTGAAAACGTGGAGCGGAGCAGTCAATGCTTAATTTACAAAGAAGCGCTTGCTAATATGGAACAACGGCAGATTAACACCTCACCATTTTCTATGGCATGGATATCAATAATGTCAGGCTTGATCAAGATAAGCAACGGAGAACAACCGCAAAAGTTTTTTCAGTGGCTGAATGTTGATTTTGCCCTTAAGGGCATATGCCTAATGTGTGTCACCATTGGATGACGTGGGGATGCGCGTATAGCAGGAGAGAGGTGCCCTCAATATTTCTCTTTCCTGCTCACATGCATCATCGTATGCATCCAAGTATCCAACAGTGGATGCACACGAGGCATATAACCTTAGAGGCAAATTTTTGTTATCTGTTTTGGTGGCACTAAGTGTATTGATGATTGAATGATTCTTGTAGCTTTCTTGATCATATTCCTTTTGTCCAATTGTTTGTTTCACTAAAACATTTCAAGGCCTAACCAAGCAGCAAGTCAGCTATAGATAAGATCCTTGTTCTACTTAACACGGAGTACCTCAAAGTAATACAATCTCAGCAGAAATGACGCGATCAACAGAAACGTCTCACCTGCCCATCATACCATCCCGTCTCCTCATCTGAATCAAATACGACACGGACTTCAGACTAACACAATGCAGACCAGCAGAAAGGAGAACAAAATTAATTTGGATTCCTCACACTCCACTGTGGCGCTGAGCAAGCGGTTGCCGACGTAGGCCCACCCGAGGTACATCCGCACGACCGCGAGCGTGACGGCGAGGATCCCGGACCCCGTGGCGCCGAGCGCGAGGTGCAGAGCGTCGGCGCCAGCCCCACCGCGTCCCCCGAAGGCGGCGACGGGGAGCCCGACGAAGAGCGCGACGGCGGCGCCCGTGAGCGCGAGGCGGGAGCAGTAGACGCGGAGGTCCCCCGCCGCCCAGGAGAAGGGCAGGGACGCCGCGAGCGCCTCGTACTCGTTCACGGGGCGCTGCTCCGGCGGCACCGGGCACCACTCGGTCTCCGGCGAGGAGGAGCTCCCGTTCCGCGATGGCGGCGTCGCGAGGCAGCGGCGGTGGCGGTGGCGTCGCGGGGGCCGGGGCACCCGCCGCGCGCCGCTCGCGGGGAGGCCGGGACCGGGGCTAGGGTTCGGGGGCAAGGGGAGCGGGAGGAGGCGCAAGTGGAGGGGAGCGGCCATGTGGAAGCGGAAGGGAAGGCGAGCGAGCGAGGTGTTGTGACCCGCGAAGCAACGGTTCGCCGGCTCGGCGTCGGTTTCGTTCCCTTCGTGGCGCTTGCGTGGCCGCCTCGCTCGCAGACTACGGACGGAACTGTATCTGTATCTGTATGCAGCCGGTCCAATAACCCGTGAGATTTTTTTCGGCTCTATCTACGTGGGCCTACGGCCCACTAACATGTAATGCGATGCCCTCACCTCTTTAGCCCATTTAAAGACAGCACAGGCCCATCTTCGAGACTGTCTAAAAGTTAACCGTCATTTGATTGAAATTGAAATAATTTGTTGTTCATGCAGGAGAAAAATTATACCCTGAATAAAATTAAAGCGTCTTAGTTTATTAAAAATAAATATCTTAATAAAATTATTAATGGTCAGTTTGATTTCAACCTTGTCTAGAACAAAAAATTAAAGCGTCTTAGTTTATTAAAAATAAATATCTTAATAAAATTATTAATAGTCAGCTTGATTTCAACCTTGTCTAGAACAACAAGAATTATAAACGTGGAGACGACGATATTCGCAGACAATAGGACATAGAAGTTCTGGTTTGGGAATGTGCTTTCCCTTTGAAGCTGAGCATAGAGAACGAAGGGTTATTCTCTCCAAGGGGGCGAAAAATCTGCTCATCAGTGGTATTGTACATCGATATGGCGCTGAACATCTTTTGAAAAGAAAGCTAAAGCTGAATCTTCAAATCAGAAGCAAAAGGTGACAAACTTTATCTCTAGACGGACGGTATGCAGCCACGCCGCCTCTCCCGTTCCGCTAGCCGGGCTACTTTTCCAAGTTCCAAAATTAATTTGCTAAACATCTAGCTACAACAATGAGAGATATGTGGGAGGTCAAATTGCCTTTGAAGATCAAAGTTTCCATGTGGATGTTGTGGCATGACAAGGTCTAGCAGGAGAGCAACTAAAGATAAGGAAAAGCAAGCATTCAGAATTTTGTAAATATTGTGAACAGTTGGAAACTAGAGATCATCTATTCTTTAACTGCCATATAACCCAGGTTATTTGGGTTTGGATTAGAGTTAGTTTAAGATAGGAGCAAAGACCTATTTCGATGACTAACTTACAGGATATGCTTAACTCGGGAGAGGTTGAGAGATCTAAGAGCATGAATCTCTTCATTTTGGTTAGCGTTCCTGTGTATCTGGAAAACCAGAAATGACTGGGTATTCAATAGCAAGTTAATCAAATCTCCATGAAAGGATAAAGAGGCCCAAGAGGGGGGTGAATTGGGCTAATTCTAGATTTCTTTACAATAATTAAACCCTACGGTTAGCCCAATTAACCCCTTGTGCCTAGAAAGTGTTTCTATTTATCTACCGCACAAAAGTTTAGCAACCTATGTTTTAATCCTACTCTAGCATGGCAATTCTATGAATGTAAATGTCAAGAATTAAATTGCTCAAAGTAAATGCTCAAAGTAAAGAGAGAAGGAAAAATGCGCGGTGATGTTTTACCGAGGTATCGGAGAGTCGCCACTCCCCACTAGTCCTCGTTGGAGCACCCCGCACAAGGGTGTAGCTCCCCCTTGATCCGCGCAAGGATCACGTGCTCTCTACGGGTTGATTCTTTGACACTCCGTCGCGGTGAATCACCCACAACCGCTCACAACTTGAGTTGGGTCATCCACAAGCTCCGCCGGATCATCACCAAACTCCCAATCACCACCAAACCGTCTAGGTGATGGTGATCACCAACAGTAACAAGCACAAACTCTCACTTGACCACGACAAGCGTAATGAGAAGGGTGGATACACACTTTGCTACTCTTGCTTTTACTAATGAGGGCTCTCTTTGGGATTCTCAAATCTCAATCACCTCACTAGGACCTTGCTCTTCTTGGCACTCTCAAGGGTGTTTCTCAGTTGTTGGAATGAGCAAAAGTACCCCTACACACAAATGGAGGAAGTATTTATACACCCCGTTCAAAAACAAACCGTTATGTGCCTCTGCGGGGTGATCAGACGCTCCGGTCATGTTGACCGGACGCTCCGGTCAGTTCTCTCCAAAACCCAGTGTTTAAGTTGTGACCGGACGCGTTCGGTCACGATTTTACCTCTCTGGAACCTTACTGGAGTCGACCGGACGCTGGCACCCAACGTCCGGTCGCTCACCTCTCAGCGCCCGGCCGCACCAGACAAAATCACCTTGATCAAATGAACTGACCGGACTCTACGCCAGCGTCCGGTCACACCGGAATCAGCGTCCGATAAGTATTTGACCCTCTATTCACTTCTAACTCTCAATCATACGTGAATGAAGTTTGCTCCAATTGATCTAAGGGCTTTTTAGGAGCTACCTAGTGCTAAATTTAGCAAGTGTGCACCACACCTAACCTACTAGACTCACCTAGGTCAAACTACCCGTTCATACCCCCCTTAATAGTACGGTCAAAGGAAAAACAAAGTCATAAACTACTTTAGGTGTCTCTTCAACACCAAATGACACTTAGAACTAGTCTATCCTTAACCTTGTCGTTCATTCTTTGAAAACCGAAATGATTTCCATCGTAGGGGCATGACAACCATTATTGCCCAATCGATCTCCATTACCATGACCTAACTTAATTGCCTCTGCAAAACACACGTTAGTCATAGTAATCACGTATTGTCATTAATCATCGAAACCCAACTAGGGGCCTAGATGCTTTCAATCTCCCCATTTTTGGTGATTGATGACAATACCACCTCGAGTATGTGAAAGAGTTGAGATTTTTAACATGCATGGTTCATATAAGCTTTTGACAATAAGAACAAAAGAGTTAGGCAAGCTTATATGACCCAAGCCATCATGATGTACTTAATAGATATGAAATAAGCATGCATACAAGTAATAAGGCTCATTTGCATCAGAGTAAAACGCGGAAGCAAAGCAAATGAGCATAACACAAGTGACATGACATATAAATAATTCTAAGTAGAGAGCACACATGTCACATATCACATAACTATCACAATCACGTATATATCACTATCACATAAATATAGTTCGATGCATAAAAGTAAACACATGAAAGCATAATAGTGTATCACACATAAAAATCAAATATAATAGATAAACCCCCCTAAAGGAATCGCTCCCCCTAAGTCTATCATACTCGATCCCTCTCCCCCTTTGGCGTCAAACACCAAAACCTATGGGTCGATCGGTGGGGCTGCAGCGGACGAGTCAGACGCTGAGATACGAGGAGCGAGCTGGAACTGTGTGCCATCATCATCTGATCCCGAGCTCTATGCAGTCTGACCCTCTGTGGCTAGAAGCGACGTTGAAGTGGTCTGGGTCGAATCTAGAACTAGGGCTGCCTACTCTGATGATGCAACTGAAGATGAGAGCGTCTCTGTAGTCCCAGTAATAGGAGCAACTGTGGAAGGACCAGGGACATGTAGCTCTGGTGGTGTAGGCTGCCCTGTCAACTCACTGAATGAAGCACCAAGGCTCCTAGAGACTGGGGTGAGCACTGACGAACTCTGAGGTGGAGTGAAGCCCGTATGAAGAGGTGTGAACTGTGGGGCTGGCACTGGCGAAGCAAACCACTAGGACACCTGCTCTATAGGTGAAGGAAACTGTGTCGTTGGTGGTCCCTGACTCTGAAGCCCACTGGGCTAGAAAGCTGGAGTCATAGAAGTGGTGGCTGGCTGACCAAGCTGGGTGAAGGTTGTGGCGGTGGAGCCCCAATTGCTGTCACAACATGCTGCATAAACCCAAGTAGCTGCTGCTACATGAGGAGCTCGCCGATGCATGGCTCGGCTTTCTTCTGCTGTTGTATAGCTCACATTATCATCGTGTGAATTTCATCTCGCCTAGTCTCAAATCAGGCAAATGTAGCAGCGGTCTCCTGAGCCTAGCGAGCCTGATCCTGCCTCATCCACTCAAGTATAGCAAGTAGAGCGGGGTCTGTCTACGGTGCAGGTGGAGCTAAACTGGAGCTACCGGCCTCATGGCCATGTCATCGTGGAGGCATCTGAGGGATATCACGGTAGTCATCATCTGAGCTGTCGCTAGGGTCGCTCTCGACCATCCCCTCCTGCTGAGCATCTAACTGCTACCTCCTCTGTAGCTGCAATGCCCCTGATAGTCTTATCCTGCTGGGCTGCAGTCTCTGGCACCTCTGGACGACGATGCGGCTGGCTGGGTGTCCTCACTGCATTATGGCGGATCATCTGAGTTATGTTGTATGCAGGGAACTCTATAGTAGCACCACTATACTCTGCCAGCATCTCAGGTGGCCTCACAGTAACTGCCCTATGGATCAAGAATGTAATCCAATGAGCATATGACAGCTGCCTATGACCCCTGAACCCCTCTGCAATAGTATCCCCCATCTCTGATAAAAGAAGATCCCAAATGTCAAACACAATCTGCTGCATCAGAGAGTTCAATAGCCATAACTGTATGCGAGTCAAGCCCTCGCGATACCCCATCCTCGGAAGCAGGGTCCTCCTCATAATAGTATCAAGCACTCTAGCAGTAGGAGTGAGATCACTGGGTGTCCTGCTCGACCCCTCACCGAAAGGCTCTGTGAAGCAATGGCGGACTAGATCTGTAGGGGGCACAAGACCGTCGTGAGGGCGTCTGGGAGGTGTTGTATGTCCATAGCAAACCTCATATAGCCGGATGGGCTGCTCCTAAAGCTTAAGTATCTCTCTGACCCTAAAGCTCATCACCCTGTAATCTCTGCCTCTGAAATCAAAGTGAATAAATCTATGTTGTGGGTCAATCTAAAGTGTAGCATAGAACTCACGGACCCAAGATGAAACATATAAGCATGTTCATCCGAGTAAGTCTGTCAGCCCTGGCAAGTAAGATAGGTAAGGGCAAATATGCTCTCCAGCTGCTGCTATAATGGACTCAATGTTGCACACCCTCTGAGATATAAATACTGCTTCACTGTTAAGATATGCATTATAAAAATCTTCCTGCAGTGGTGTGTAGAAGCCCTCTGAAGCTCGATCA